TATTTACGTACCTCCTGAAGCTGACAGGGATCGCATCTCCCCATCTTGCGTTGTTTGCTAAGAATTGCTGAGAGACTTCTAGCTCTTACTGTTCGCCTCCATCATAACAGGAGCGAGCTTTTTCTTGGCTTCAAACTCCCACACATGAACTTTCTCTCCCCTGACACAGTAGGTCTGAGCTCAGTGATTAAAAGCTTGCTCTTGTGATGGTGAAGATGGACAGTAAGAGCTAGGAGTTTCCTAGCAACGTCTTAGCAACAAGGCAGGATGGGTCAATGTGATCACTGGGAGTTTTTCATGCAGACTTCAGTGGGTACGTAAATGGCTTACAACAGCCTTTCTCAACCATTTCAACACAGAGGAACCCTTGAAATAACTTTCCAGTTTCAGAGAACCCCTACAAAAAATATCTACAACTCATGATACATTAGTGTGATGGTCAGTGGGAAGAATGCTCCTTACACTTGTGGTCAGTGTGAAGAATTACCCCTTATAGATAGCTAAAAAGATCAGTCGTGTTAGTGGGAACTTATCTAAGAGGCAGAAATTGCTCATTGCTCAAGGAACCCCTGATAACCTTTGGAGGAACCCTTGTTGAGAAACTCTGACTTACAACTATCGCAAGGACATTATTTAAATGTTGATTTAGCTGCACAGTTTGTTTCTATTTACAGGCACCCCTTACCTGCATAGACAGTATTATGGTAAAGGTGAACCAGGGGCTGACTGACCATTTGAGCACTCGGGCACTGCCCAAGGGCCCGTGGTCAGTAGGGGGGCCCCATAAAATGCCCCTGGTACCTTGTATAGGCTTTTTTGGGTGCGTTTTGAGTGTGGGCAAGGACACAGGGGCCCCATGATCCCCAAGTGCCCGGGGGCCCCATGAGTTGTCAGTCCACCCCTGAGGTGAACTATGCGTTTAAGATTTGGGTAAAGATAATAATTTTTTCGGTAGAAACTCGCAAGCTGTATCAAGCAATATTGTATGCTGAAACAGTGGAAGAGGCAGTGCAGTAACCTATAAAAACCAATCAGGACCAGGGGCGGACTGACCATTTGGAAACTCGGGCACTGCCTGAGGGCCCGGGGTCAGTAGGGGGCCCCATGAGATGCCCCTGGTACCTTATTCATAGGCTTTTTTGAGTTTGGGCAAGGACACAGGGGCCCCATGATCCCCTATTGCCCGGGGGCCCCATGAGTTGTCAGTCCACCCCTGATCAGGACCCATGATATTGTGGTCTGGCTTTAATTAAGTCATTTCTGGTTGGTTGCTTATTATTAAATATATCCACATATGTTTACATACATATCACAAAAATGTAGGGGAGTTTTTTATCAATATATCTTGCTGTCATAACAAAAAGCCAAATGGTAGGCTTTTAAGCTGGCCATACAAATGGCAAATGTAAGCACCTCCGGGCTACCCAGATTTCAAGTATTTGCCAGAAACTGAACACTCAGGAACTTGACTGTCCACCAGAATTTCCCTGATTGTGACATTGAAACTGGTCAATAAATTGACAGCCTGAATACAGTTTGTTGAAAGACTGAACTGAAATGGATCAGAAAACGGAAAAAATTACAGAAAATTGCAGATTTTTCTGCCTTCGGTAGATTTCCAGTGCTTTTGATTGCTCAGTGACTTTGAAAACAAAAATATAATAGTAAGTTCGATCAAACTATCAACTTTCTATACATACAGCCAGTTTACACTAATGGCAGGTAACTGTATCCGGCTAATCTGCCTTAAATGGGATTATGGGACACGATGCAGTAACGGTCTTTGTTTGTATTTATGAAACATACTGGGGTTTACTTAATAAAGTCAAATAAGATTTTGACTTTGCAAGGAAAGCTGAACTAATTTTCCTTAGAGCTTAGTTAATGTAGTGAAGTTTCACTTTGCAAGGAATAGCCAATCATGTGAAAGGAAACTTTAAAACAAAAAGCAGCATTTTTGATTGCACATGATTGGATGATGGAAGTCAGCAGAGCCTCCCCTCATTCAGTAAGTTCTGGGGCAAGTTCCTTTGCAAAGTGTAAGTGAACATTTGAACTATTTGCCTTCAGTAATCAACCCCACAGAGTTTTAAAAGAAATGAAACTTACCCTTCCTAACTTTCTTCTCCTGGGTGGCACGTCCTGGAAGTTGAGCCTCTGTGCAATACGTGTGGTGACCCCAAGCCGAACATCAGTGGTCACCGCTCTCCATCCCATCACTCGTCCACAGCTGGGGCACATCAGCTGCCCTGTGTTCTCTTTCCCTCCACTGTGGTTGACCAGGCACACCCTGCAATAACTGTGCCCACACTCTGTGGTCACAGGGTCATTAAAGTAACAACTGCAGAGAGGGCACAATGAACCGGCCTGCAGCTCTTTGACAGGTCCTCCGCTAGCCATTTCCAGTGTTCGTGTCTACAGCTCCTCAAAGTGATGTGTATGAAATAAAAAAAGCTTTATACACCTAGACGTATTAGGTTTCCACCCCTTGTTTACCTGTCGTAAATTCTTCATGCTGAGGGAGGCGGGGAATTATGCTGTTTGTCAAGTTCATGATGCTGCGTGATCCTGGGATTGGCCCTCAGGGCTTGTATGTCACCTACCGCTGATGTAACCACAGCTTAATTTACTAAATATAGCTGGGAGCAAATAAAGGGTTAATTGTGGGTCATAATGTTTACAAAGGAATATATAATGTAGAAAAACAGGAGCTTTACAGAGGATTTATGATTAATTCATCCTGGCGGCACTGCAAGAAGCCAACAGCAAGGATGAGGAGAATTGGAGGGAACTCTGTCATTCAGGAGGACGCGATGTGCCTCAGGCTTTCTTATCTCACTGGCAGATTCAGCCAAAGTTTTATTAAACAATACAGTACATTTTGTTAACTTACTGTTAGGATTCAGAGCAGTGGTTGTCAACTTATGAGCTAATGGGGACTCAAATGTGGCCCCTGACATAATCACTAAAGGGCCACACATAATGTTCGGTCTATATAATGCTTGGGAGGACTGTCAGAAACCGCAGACCTAAGAGAGGAAACGAGGGTCAGAGAGTGTAGACATGCTACTGTACCAGGGGCGGACTGACCATTTGGAAACTCGGCACTGCCCGGGGTCAGTAGGGGGCCCCGTGAGATGCCCCTGGTACCTTTTTCATAGGCTTTTTTGAGTTTGGGCAAGGACACAGGGGCCCCATGATCCCCTATTGCCTGGGGGCCCCATGAGTTGTCAGTCCGCCCCTGTACTGTACATTTGTAGCTGTGAACATGCAGAACACAATACACAGCTAGGGACATGTTACACGAGGCTAGTAGAGATCAATGCTGTTACCTTAATCAATGTTCCTACTACAGACTGGTGAGGTCTGAGGGCCACACATCCTAGTACCACACCCTCAGGCTGCAGGTTGGGCACAGAAGGTTAGGGTCATGGTAAATGCGGAGTTCCACTCATGCTGTCAAAAAATAAAAGTCAGCAGCTACAAAAACTGTAGCTGCTGACTTTTAAAAAACAGCCACTAATGTCCCTCGGTCCCACGGTGTGTCCCTTGCAGCCCGTTTCACCGGCCGTCCTGTATTCCAGGAGGCCGGCATCTTCAGTGTGGGCACCCGGCTGTGATAGCTTGCGGCTTCACAGCTGGGTACCCACTGCGCATGCGCACGCGTGAGTAGCCCTGCGCTTCATGAATGGTCCTGTAGTCATCTGGGACCTGTCCCGTGTCCCAGAAGACTACAGGGAGGGAGGGAGGGCACTTTTAGCTTCCATTCGCCTAGGCGATTGGATCGGAAGTGGGAGCGGGAACCTGTCAAATTCGGGTACCTGCTCCCCCCCGCCCCCTAAAAGTGCCAATCCTTAATGGGAAGCGGGGGAGCAGTCCTTAAAGCGGAACTTCCCCTTTTGGGTGGAGCTCCACTTTAAAGTCTATGAAAACCAAAATATTATTTTTCTTTTTGTCTCTATTTTTGAATAGAGTAGGATAGATAGATCCCTGTCAGTTTTTTCCTATCTGTCGGTGACATTTTCCTTCACTTTCTGTTACCAAGACACAAGAGGAAGTGAGAAGAAATCTCTAAAGTAAAGAAAAACCCTCTTAGAAATCTTTCAGTAAAACAGGTGACCCCATTGGAAAATTTCCCTTTATTCCAGTTTCAGTGACAACTGCAACATTTTCTAAACTATTTGTGTGGGTGAATCTTTCCAGTGAGGACACAGATAGTCTGAAAAACTTGAAGAGAAGTTTTAATATGTTCTGTGAAATGCTTAAAAAAGTTCCTGACCAGAACTGCCTTAATTCTTTGTGGCGGTGGACGTGGTATACTTGGATTTTGCAAAAGCGTTTGACACAGTTCCCCACACACAGCTAATGTGTAAGGTAAAGTCTACAGGCTTGGAAAAATCTGTATGTAAATGGATAGAAAACTGGCTAAAAGACCATATTCAGAGAGTAGTGGTCAATGATTCATATTCTGAATGGCCTAGGATTGTCAGTGGTGTACCCCAAGGTTCAGTGTTGGGACCCTTACTTTTTAACCACAAGCCTACAGGGCACTTATACCCCCTTCCTGCCCAGGCCAATTTCCAGCTTTCAGCGCTGTCGCACTTTGAATGACAATTGCATGGTCATGCAACACTGTACCCATATGAAATTTTTATCATTTTTTTGTGACAGATAGAGCTTTCTTTTGGTGGTATTTAATCACATCTGGGTTTTTTATTTTTTCTTAAACAAACCAAAAACCACTGAAAATTTTGAAAAAAACACATTTTTTTTCTTAGTTTTTGTTATAAAATTTTGTAAATAAGTGATTTTTCTCCTTCACTGATGTGCGCTGAGGCTGCAGTGATGGACACTGATAGGCTGCCCTGATGGACACTGATAGGTGGCACTGATGAGGAGGCACTGGTATGTGGCAATGATGGGCATTGACAGGCATCACTGATGGGCACTGAAAGGCAGCACTGATACATGGCACTGATAGGCGGCAATGATAGGCGGCACTGATAGGCGGCAATGACTGGCACTGTTAGGTGGCACTGACTGGCACTTATAGGCGGCACTGACTGGCACTTATAGGCGGCACTGACTGGCACTGTTAGGTGGCACTGACTGGCACTGATTAGCAGCACTGATAGGTGGCACTGATTGGCATTGATAGGTGGCACTAACTGGCACTGATGGGTGACACTGAAAGGCAGCTCAGATGGGCACTGATATGTGGCATTGATGTGCACTGGTAGGCACTGATATGTGGCAATGATGTGGCACTGATGGGCACTGGCACGAGGCACTGATGAGCACTGACACAAGGCACTGATGGACAATGACAGGTGGCACTGCTGGGGCTACACTGATCATCAGGGCACAGTGTACATGTCCCCTCCGCAGAAAGCCGATTACCAGCTCTCCTCTCGAGCTGTCAGCGTGACAGCTTGAGAGGAGTGAAATGCAGATAACCGGCATTTCCCTGTTTACATGTGATCAGCTGTGATTGGACACAGCTGATCACATGACCGAACCAACATCTTCGGCTCTTCTTTCCGTGATCAGTGATCCGCTGTGTCCGAGGGACACAGCGCACCGTCAATCACCGTGCTGCGCGCTCCCTGAGCCACGCATGCGCGGTGAGAATGGGAGGACGTCATATGACGTTCTCCCAGAATGAGAGAACCACCTTGCGTCCTTCATATTACTATATGGCGGGTGGGAGGTGGTTAATATATTTATAAACAATATAGGGTCTGGGATTAAAAATTCCAATTCAGTGTTTGCAGATGACACCAGGCTGTGCAGTGGAATAACGTCCTTGCAGGATGTCTTCAATTTACAAGCCGACCTCAATGTACTGTTTAATTGGGTTTAGGGTTAGGGTTATGCATGCATCATACATACTAGGGGATGTACTTCAGAGTTTTTCATCATGCGACAGGGTCTTTTTAACATACACCACAAGAAATATTGTCAGCTGCACCCAGGCCATACTTTTGGTGAGTAGTTTCCCATAATGTTTACTTTGGTTTATGGTGAGTTATCTTCATGTTCCATAGTAGAAGAGGAAGGTTGTAAATCCAGTTTGACTGTCATTTTACCTGGAGGACAATCTCATGCCTCAGAGTTATCAGCACACAGCTCACAAATCTGTGTATGTATACATGTATTTGTTACAGAAAACCAGTCAAGACTGGTTCTATGCAAGAATCTGAACATTTAGTTTTCAGTTATTACAACGCTTATTTACAGTAAGAAAGTTACAGTATATTTACTGTTTTTTTAGGCTTAAAGAATATGTAGAGCCAAAATCTTTTTTATAGTTTTGGATAGAGACGACGATGGTTTAGACCCAAGTCGTGGGTCGCAACCCAAAAGTGGGTTGTGACTAGCGACAGACTGGGCCGTGGGACAAGTGCCCCCCAGGCCTCTCTAATGTCCCAACAAAACATCTGGTGCCCTGACAACATAGCTTAATATAAATGTTAAGATGGCCGGGACCCTTAAAAGAGTGAAGGAAATAAGTGTTTGATCCCCTGCTGATTTTGAATATTTGCCCACTCTCAAAGAAATGATAAGTCAAAAAATCGAATGGTAGGAGTATTGTAACACTGAGAGACAGAATAGCAACAACAAATTCAAAAGAAATGCATGTCTAACAAATTATGCACTGATTTGCAAGTTCATGAGGGAAATAAGTATTTGATCCCCTTCACAAAACATGACTTAGTACTTGGTGGCAAATCCCTTGTTGGCAATCACAGAGGTCAGATGTTTCCTGTAGTTAGCCACCAGGCTTGCACACATCTCAGGAGGGATTTTGGCCCACTCCTCTTGGCAGATCTTCTCCAAGTAATTACGGTTTGGTGGCTGATGTTTGGCAACTCAAACTTTCAGCTCCCTCCACAGATTTTCAATCGGATTAAGTTCTAGAGACTGGCTAGGCCACTCCAGGACCTTAATGAGCTTCTGCTTGAGCCACTCCTTTGTTGCCTTGGCTGTGTGTTTTGGGTCATTGTCATGCTGGAACACCCATCCACGACCCATTTTCAATGCCCTGGCTGAGGTAAGAAGGTTCTCACCCAAGATTTGACGGTACATTACCCTGTCCATCGTCCCGTTGATGCGGTGCAGTTGTCCTGATCACTTAGCAAAAAAACACCCCCAAAGCAGAATGTTTCCACCACCATGTTTGACAGTTGGGATGGTGTTCTTGGGGTCATAGGCAGCATTCCTCCTCCTCCTAACATGGCGAGTTGAGTTGATGCCAAAGAGCTCAATTTTGGTCTCATCTGACCACAACACTTTCAACCAGTCCTCCTCTGCATCATTCAGATGTTCAGTGGCAAACGTCAGACGGGCCTAGGCATGTGCTTTCTTGAGCAGAGGAACTGCGGGCACTGAAGGATTTCAATCCTTGTCGCATGGTGTGTTAGCAATTGTTTTCTTGGTGACTGTGGTCCCAGCTGCCTGCAGATCATTGACAAGAAAGATTTATACGATCTGAAGAGAAACCAGAGTATTAGATCCTCACGTGTAGTTCGGGGATGATTCCTCACTGTTCTCATGATCATTGACACTCCACAAGGTGAGATCTTGCATGGTGCACCAAACCTAGGGAGACTGACAGTTGTTTTGTGTTTCTTCCATTTGTGATTGATTGCACCAACTGTTGTCACCTTTTCACCAAGCTGCTTGGCGATAGTTTTGTAGCCCAGTCCAGCCTTGTGTAGGTCTACAATCTTGTCCCTGACATCCTTGGACAGCTCTTTGGTCTTTGCCATGGTGGAGAGTTTGGAATCTGATTGTTTGATTGCTCCTGTGGACAGGTGTCTTTTATACAGATAACAAAATGAGATTAGCAGCACTCCCTTTAAGAGACTGCTTCTAATCTCAGCTTGTTACCTGTATGAAAGACACCTGGTAACCAGAAATCCTGCTGAATGATAGGGGATCAAATACTTATTTCCTTCATGAACATGCAAATCAGTGCATAATTTGTTAGACATGTATTTCTTTCACCCCAAACTGTGGGACACTTATCAAGAGCAAGAAGCATCCCCAGTTTTCCCATTAATTCTAATTAATTTCATATAAATAAAAAGAATAAATTATAATGTTTCGGAAACAAAATTATTTTTGGGTTGCAACTTAATGACCAAGGACAAATGTGGGTCCTGAGGTTCAACAGGTTGAGAACCACTGATTTAAACCCTTGTTAGTTTTCTTTTTTTATCTGTATCACATCAAGGAGATAAGGAAGTAAGTGGAGAGCTCTCCAAAGAGCAGGGATATCCCCTCCTAGCCAGTTGTTACCAGAACAAGTTTACCCATGGGATGATTCCCCTCACCTCCTATTCCTAAAACAACTCCAAAAAATTTGCATTCACTATTTATTTTTTCTTGGTGACAATGGTGGTAAATTCTCTACAAGCAAATGATCAAGGGTGTGGATGGCATTCAATCAGTTACCACGGGTGTATCAGTAAGTGCTATGAAGCAACTATAAAACTGTTTAGCCCTAGACCAGGGGTCTCCACACTTTCAAAACAAGGGGCCAGTTTACTGTCCTTCAAATATTAGGGTGGGTGGATTGTGGCCAGTGGGGGTAGAAAATGTCCTGGCATCGGTGTGTCAGAGGACTAATACTGGATCAGCTAGTGTTAATATTAAAGCTTTCTTTTGTGCAGCTAATGCTCATTCTCATGCAGCTAAAGCTCGTGCACATGTATCAGCACTCAAACGAGCTTGGGCTAATATCCAACATGCATAGGCACATCTCTGTGTGCCACTGCGTATCGGCACGCATGTCTATGTGCATTGGTGCCAAGCTGCCTATTTAAAGAAGACCCTGATGTGTGTCAATCGCTGGATGTTTTTCAGCTCCCCTGTGACCTGTGTTCCTGTGTTCTTACTTATGCTGACTGATCTCCTGTTGCTCACCCGGCTGGTTCCTGACTTTGCTCTGTGGATTTGGATACCAACCTTGGCTTGCCTCTGACTATTCTCTGCCTGCTTCCCTGGTTCTGACCTCAGCCTGTTACTGGACCTCTCCCTGCCTGCTTCTTTGGTATTGACCCCAGCCTGCTACCTGACCATTCTTCTGCCTCATCATGTATGACCCTGGCTCATCCTAACTATGTCTCTGACCCTGGCAGTTACCTGCTACCAAGCTACCAGCACCCGTGCATCTTTGAGCCTTGTACCTCTGTCACCACATTTGGGGGTGCTCGGACCAGAGCGGCAAGGGAAGCCCTCTTGTTAGTTCGGCCTCCAACCAAGGTATGTGACACAGTGGGAGTAAACAATACCACTGGCCTGGTCGTCAGTGGGAGTAAAAAAAAAATTACTTTGTTGGTGTCGGTGGGAGGAACAGTGCCCCATAATTAGTGTCAGTGAGAGAATTAGTTCCCTATCTCTGGTGTCAGTGGGAGGAATAGTACCCCATTGTTAGTGTCACTGGGAGGAATATAGTGCCCCATTTTTGGTGTCATTGGAAGGAATAGTGCCTTGTATCAGCAGAAGGAATTGTGCCCCAATGGCCTAATAAAAGCAAGCACAGGGCCACATATTGGAGATCCTTGTCCTAGACAGACTAGGCGAGCCTAGTACAATCAACGGCTCCATTGCAGAGGAGCGCTGCACTCATCAATGATGTAGAGGTCAGAGGATGGAATCACAATGTGTTGGGAGACACAGACAACCTTTACTCTCAAGCACTGAAAGGTCCCACAGAGGCTGCAATGCTGAAATACGTTATTAAAAGACATAGGTCTGCCTGAGAGGTGGGTATACGAGTTCTTCTATTGTAGGGGACTTGTTTTATTTATCAATGTAGTAACCTTGTAGTTACAGAAACTGTGGAGCAGTTCATCCTCAAAGTTCACAATAGAATCAGTGAAATTGATGAAGTCGGGTCTCTTATTGTACACCTGCTCTGTGTTTGCATTAGGAATTAGAAGGTTGGGCTGCCAAACTATGGTGACGGAAATGGGAGGGTCTAAATTATGCAGAGAAATAGCTCAACATTACTCAATCAGTTGGCTGCAACTCAAAAGCAGCTGAAAGGCAAAACAAAGCAGCTCAAATGCAAGTCAAAGCATTTTAAAACACCCAAAAGCATACTGTATTTGATTCCCTGAGTGTGAAGTCCATCTACAGCAACCATAAAAGCAAGTAATAGCCATACACACAGAAACTTTCAGGCTGTTTCAACCAGCTTTGGCTCTTCAAATCGATCAGACAGATCAAGGCAACCTGATCCTGCAAACAATTTGGCAAAAGATAGTTGGTTGCAGGTTACCTGGAGAAGTCATTTCAGTGGCATACAGATAAGCAGTAGATAACGGATCCTGAAACATGTCTAAAGGGAATAATAGAAATAAATATAATAACTCAAAAATGTGCATTCTGAAAATACATTTCAATTTCCCCTTAAAACCACAAAGTAACAATGTTTCTTTAAAGAGAAAATCCTTGAAACTTTTTGCAGCTGTGTTAAACAAAATTGCCGATGCACAGATTAACACATCGTCTTCATTCCTGTGATGGCCTTTACAGCTAGCCCTCTGAGACCTGCATTTGC